AGATATTTACTGCCAGATGATGACATATGAAAAAAGAAACTCTCCACTCACTGTCATACCTCACACGGCTCCTCCTCCAGACATCTTCCATCCTGGGTTGTTTTGTAAGATTGGAGTCATTTTGTGAGAGGAGTTAAACTGTAACCAACAAGAGCATTTTTGATATTGTTAATTGGTGCCAGGCAATGATAACTGTTATGGTAAGCTCAATTCTTTTCTCACATTGAAGGTAGCCACTTGCCAGCATCCACCCTCCTCCCCCCACCTGCTGCCATGTTTTCGTACACAGGATTTTTTACAGGTTGTAGGAAGAGCTTTTCATATTTCTAGGCTTATTCACTTTTGGGCTTTCAAGATATTCTGGCTTAGAGTTGAGTAAGGATACAGATTCATGCACTAGATCAATATAAAAAGAATCTGACATTCTTATCTCTAATTAAAAAAAAAAGACATATTCTTATAGAAATAGTGCCAGACTCTCTCAAATACTCTTGTTTTTTTCTGCTTCATTATTCTTGATGGAATAAAATTGCTAGGGAAACAGCAAACACTGAGGAAAAATATAAGAAAACCTCGAACTATATTTGAATATTCCACACGAAATGTTATCCGGCACCAAAATTACCAAATCATCATAGAGCAACATCGTATTTGAGGATGGTTTTGGTGGTCAAGTTAAGAGTTGCCCTATTTGCCAAATATTGTTTAGACTATTATTTAACCTTTTATCAACAGCGTGTAAAATGAGTGTCCTGATATCTCTGTTATGTACACTGTAGATGAGTAGTAAGAAATGAGGACGATGTTTGCTGCCTGACCCTGCTGGACACTGGACCCCAAAGCACACCAAGAGGAAGGAGACACTGACTCCACCTCCACTCACGATGTGATTCTCCTCACGTCATCTCACTTTTCTCCCGTGAAGAGAATGGGGATACGTGGATTCTGTGGGGCTCCCAGGGCTCTCCTGAAGGCTTGCCTCACCCCGTCTTCTCTACACGTGGCTCTTTTCCCTACACGTTTGAGGATGGAGAACTTATTCTTCCACGGGAAGCTCCCAGCTAGTCAAAAAGTCCAGGAAGCAATATTTAAGAGCATATGGAGGAAAAAGAGAAAGGACCTGACAAGAAAAAGGCAGGAGAAATAAGAATGAACGTTTGTGCGTTGGTTGGAAAACGCACCACACTACTCCCAGCCCCCACATACATACGGTCTGAGGAGTTTTAGATATTTTGGTAGATTCTGAGTCAGAGTAGGCACTAACTATTGTTTATAACAGGAAGAATAATGAGGAAATAACCAACAGTATTTTTACATACACTTAGATGTAATTATTTGAGTAAAAGTCCTAGTCTTGTTTGGAGAACCATCCAGAAGTGGATTTAAACTTCTTTTTTAATGTTTATTTATCTTTGAGAGACAGAGACAGAGCACGAGCAGGGGAGGGGCAGAGAGAGAGGGAGACACAGAATCAGAAGCAGCTCCAGGCTCTGAGCTGTCAGCACAGGGGCTGTCGCGGGGCTCGAACCCACGAACTGTGAGATCATCACCTGAGCTGAAGTCAGACGCTTAACTGACTGAGCCACCGCCATCCAGAAGTGGGTTTAGGGGACTTATTTGCAGGTATGAAGTGAAAAACTTAAGTCATAAAATTTAAACTTCTAAAACTGCACACATTTTTTATAATTGTTTTCACTAGTAGGTTAAGGTAGACCCTCTTATTCAAAAAAAATATTTAGAGAAAGAAAAAATAAATACCGTTTGTGAATCATCTAGTGCTCCTCACATCTGAGGAGATGAGATCAGATGAATATATGCCACACACTCACTGAGTCATGTGTGTGACTTGGAAATCCAATGTAGCCTCTTTGCTAGCCTCTTTGCTATTCCCATCTAAAACAAAATGACTAAGATGCCTTGGGATTTAATTCTATGTTGAAAGGCATTTATTTCATGGGCTGCACATAGAGAACCCCTTATCATTTACAGCTATGAGCTTTAGTGCCATTTTGAGTGTCAAATATACTTAATATTTATATTTATTTACAATATGTTAAAAAATCGTAAAAGAGTGCTATTAAAGAATATCAAAATTGGGGCTCATGGGTGGCTTAGTCAATTAAGCATCTGACTCTTGGTTTCGGCTCAGGTCATGATCTCATGGTCTGTGAGTTTGAACCCCACATCGGGTTCCACGCCGACAGTGTGAAGCCTGTTTGGGATTCTGTCTTCCTCTTTCTCTGCCTCACCCCCCCACCCCCCACCCCGGCCCCGCTCACGCTCTTTTCTCTCAAAAATAAACAAACATTTAAAGACTATCAAAGTTAAGAGAATTTTAAACCTTATTTTCTCTCTTAAAAGTAATTTCAAGAACATTGAAACTCATACATGTTTGCTGATATCCTTGTCTGTTTATAAAGGTTATTTGGAAATCTGTTACTCCCGGTCATTTCTGCTTTCTTTGCTTGCGTGGAAGATTGGGCAATGGGAGTTAATTTAGAGAACAAGAACGATATAAAGTGACTAGTGAGAATCTGGTCAGTTCAGCCAAACTGAGAGTCAAGCCAAAGTCAACAGTTCCTCACACGAGTTTTGTTTCAAAGGCACAAGCGATGTGCAAGTCAAGCCTCTAGTATCATCTGACTGTCTTAGCCTTTCAGTTGACAAGCTATACTTTAGCACAGTCCCAATTACTTGATTAAATTTCATTCCATCAGCTTTCACATTTTTGAGATATCAGGATTAAACTTAACAGATGATGAGGTATCAGATTCTAAAATAAAACCTCAGTGGCTAAGATTTTAAAATAAATTATGTGAAATAGAGTAAATTAAATAATAGCTACTGTGAGGCTAGTGGTATTTTAATTCTGATATAAAGATAAAACCCGTACAACAAATCATATTATAAGCAATTAGATTACATGACAAGTAAGCAGCATACCTTTCTGAATAATCAAGTAGAACATAATGGATTGAGGGTCTCAACCACGTCTATAAAGTTCTTCCTTATTCTTAATCTTGTAGAATCACAGCACCTACCGCTGGGATCCAGACAATCTCGGGTGTTTCCCTTACTGTTAGCTTCTCAGGAGGACATTATTCCTTAGCTCGCTTTACCCCAAATCTACCATGGGAGATGCCAGGGCCATCCCCTTCTAGTTATAGGCGATACCGCTCCCGGAAATGACTCAAGTCACCACTTGTGGAATACTTTGTTCTCCTTCCTTTAAAACCCAAACGATCGTACGAATGTTTTCTGTCACCAGTCATCAATTCTGTTAGCACTCCTGAATCTCTGTTTTAAAATATGTATATATACATTCTTCCAACATTCAGTGGGCCCCATTCTTAACTCACTGATGACTCATTAACCACTATGAGTGACTTTTACATTTAAGATACTGTTCTAAGATCCAAGGATACAACAGCTGGTAACAGAGGGGATATCGGGGGTGATCAATCAGTGCTCCAGGGCTTGTGAGGCTGCGTATTCCCCCAACCCATGGGTTGTTTTCCCTTGGGTTCCCTTCCCTTGGGTAAAGGACATCAAGCTCTTGCTAAATAGTTTTACTTTCGTCATTTGAAAGGGGGAGACAGGGTACAGGAAAAGACTGTCTCCATGTTAGATGTTGGTAAAAGCCAAACAAATGAACAGGAAAATATCAGGTATTACTAATGCTATCGTAAACGGGGTAAAGGGACTGAGAGACAGGGCATGATTTTAGATTGAGGCCTCATGAAAGGTCTCTCTGAAGTCACATTTACACTGAGGTCAGGGTGACAAGCTAAGAGAGGGGTGCTGACCACGAGTGACATCTGCCTATCGAATATGCGATCCTGCTCTTCGTAAGCCCCCAATGTTCAACCCCAGTAATTATTATCTATAGTCCTTATTGCAAGTGAATCACACATATGCGTAATTAAAAAATATAAAGTAAGATTAGTTTGAATTGCCACAGAATACTTATGTATACAATGTTATAAACAGTAACATCTACTAACATTATGGACATTTATAGTTTGTTTTTGAGGGGGAAAAAAGACGTAGCCTTCATGCTATCATATAGTTTATGATATGCATATATAAACCATTCATTTGCATATAATTTTACTATATTAATAAAACCGATCACCTCATCTCAGGGACCGTTAAATCTGACTTTACTGAGGATGAACATTTCTTTCTCTAAGGTGCTACTCCATCCTGCAACCTTCTATGCTCAGAAGCCCAGACCTGGCTAAAAATCCCAGGCTGCTGGGAGCAAGACCTTCACTTGGACTCAACTATGTTCATAGTTTCACTTTCAAGCCTACTGACTTTCTGAATATTGTAGTATTTATAGTCGCTACTTTTTAATCAACATAGATTGTGACGGAACACTAAAAATTACACGTTTACCATCCCCAGTCGTAGGATAAAAATGTTACAATCTGTTAACAGCAGAAGAAACACACCTTTCCCACAAAGACAAAAAAGAACGTAACAGGAAAGAGGTTAAATGTGGAAACTCCGCCATGGCGTCCTGTAGAATTAGCAAGGTTCTAAAAGGTACCTGGAAAGGTGCACTATTGCAGAGAAGGGAAATACGTACCAAAAAGCAAGTATGAAGGCATAAAACGGCACATGTGCTCTTTTTAAATACTCTTCTATCCCTAAGGTCAAAGCTGGAAAAGTGGCTGCTGTAGATATGATTATGTTCCTATCTATGCTGTGATTTCTGTGTGTTATGCTTGCACTCTTGCGCACATACACACGCACGCACACACACTGTTACTCATTTGCACCGGGGCTCCTTTCATAAATCATTTCCTTGGAATTAAAAGATACTTTAACTTAAAATTACATGGAGAATTACAGAAAGAACTTTTAGCTTTTATGAGAACACTGGACACATACGTGATGTATCAATTTGCATCACTGATCAGGGACAAAAACTCTTTGAAGTATCGAGAACACGTGTTGTGACAAGTTTTCCAGAAATCCACTGTGGCAAAAGGTTAAGAAAAATTTGCACCTTTATTTTGGTGGAATAAACACAAAAACAGTAACGGGAAATTGAGATACCGTAGTTACGATTCAGTTCCTCTCCGTCATTGAAGAAGATACGCTACAGAAGATCAAACCATAGGTAATGCTCTTCATGCTTTAAAATAATCTGTGTCACTCAAATAAAACTGCAAGTCAAGGAGATTTTGAAAAGGATTTTTCAATGGCTCTCAGTGAAAACATTCTTTACTGGTAAAGCAGACACTTAAAACTTCTCGATTACATATGTCATGCAAAACTGACCTCACACAGGGTTGTCTAACAGCTCAATGGAATGCAATCTTTTTGGGGGCGATTATAAATCTTATCCGTTACAGTGACCGCAACAGTAAAAAGAATTCAGGGAAAAGACTCTCATGAAGCAAAACACCACGTAATACGTGTGAAAGTATTGTTCTGAATGTTCCGTTCTCCCTCCTAATTCCTAAGTTGTGGAAGACGATCATATATAAAAATGGCAGTTGCTTTTGTGTGTGCATCTGTAGGCACTCCATCGAAATGATGAAAAGAAACTACAGGAATAGCATTTCAAACAATTTTACAGGGTTTTGTGAATACAAAATATGGCAATGCCCTTTGATTGAAAACGTTCGTGTGTTCCAAGAGGTTATTCCTAAGGAAGAGGATTCTGCTCCTGTGAAGATGCAGCTCCTTCCTGGCGTTTAGCGCTTTAGCCGTGTGTTCACGTGGCCTCCGGGTGGTGGCCCGTCAGTGGCCCGGAGCGTGGCTTCCTCCGGGAGGACTCGGGAGCGCTTTCTCCGCGCCAGGACACCGCGGGGGGGGGGGGGGGGGGGGGGGGGGGGCGGTTTGTCTGCGGAGGTGAGGCTGTGCGAGCGCGGGCAGCAGGGAGACCCCCGCCGCAGGCCAATCCACCTGCTTCGAGCGTCGGAGCCCCTGGAGGCAGGTGACTCCCGGACCGCCTGCTGCCGCGCTCACGTCGCGGGGCGGTGACCGGGCACAGAGACTCCCGGGTGCTTGGAAACGGGGCGCTGCTGGAGCAAACGCCTAGAAACGAGGGCGGAGCTTTGCGATCGGGCCGTGGGTAGACGCTGGAGGAAGAGGTTTCAGGAGCACGACAGGAAGAGGCAAGGTCACCTTGACCGCCGTTAGACGTACGGCCGTCAGCGCGAATGAGGGCTGGGAGCGCGGGGTGCAGGCTAGAGGCCGCCACTGCCACCCAGACCACGTGAGCTGGCGGAAACCGACTGTGACAAGAAATCGGGGGATCATTACCGGCGCTGCCGGGGCCGCGCCGGAGGAAATGAGGGGCGTGCCGCTGCACACTGAAGGTGAAGGTTCTGGCAAAAAGCTCAGCGACTTGGGTCAGCGGGTGGGTGGAAAGTGAAACACCTAAGACGTTTATTTGGCTGAAGCGGGTTCTAAGCAGAGCGTGCAAGGTGCGGCCTGCTTTCCTCTTGGCGGTTACAGTAAAATGTGAGAGGGACAGACACATCTGGAAAGAACAGTTAAATATAAAGAAAACAGGAGTCAAAAATGACTTGCAGACTCCTAGCCTCCCCAAATGACAGAGGCCATTAAAATTAAGATTCACTGTCAGGAAAGCCTGCTCAAGGGAAAGAGAGGAGGGTGTCGCTATACAACTGAGGAGGGCCTGCATTTTTTGGTCACACTATAGGTTCTTGGAAGAGATTAAGGGTGTGACTCCTAGATCCTCCTCAGAAAGAGCCAGAAAGGGAGCTGGGATTACCTAGGAACGCTGTGTGCAGGAGCCTCTGGTCTATTGGACTGAATCCTCGGAACACGCACACAAGACCCACACGTTTCCTGAGGACGCTGTACCAGCAGACGCTGCTGTCTTAAATTGAAACGGATAATAGAGATGGTATGAAACGAAAGAAGGTCAGACTTCCCCCAAGTCCACAGGTAAGAAACAAGCTGATAAAAGTCCTCAGCTGCAAACAGGTGCTACCTTTCACCAGAAAGGAAAGAGGGTTCCGAGCCCAGATGGCACTGCGGGCCACGGAAGGCCGTGCCGGGATCCGAGACCTCACGGGGTGTGCGTGGCCCCTTTCTGACCGCTTGGCACGGGTGGCTCCTTTCGTCTTCGTTCTGTTTGAACGGGAGCGATGTCTATAAGCGCTATTCTACGCCTGCCCCGCCATTATGTTTGGGAACAGATAACCGGTTGCAGGTTTGTGGGCACACAGGCGGGGAGGAACTGTGTCCCAGAATCACAGCCCGAGCCTCACTCACACTTGGATTTAAGTGAGGCTTGGGGCTTCTGAGCTGGTGGGATTCGGATGGGATCTCGCACCCTCAGCTGACGCTGTGATGGGCACCACCGGATGGGGTGACTTGCTGTGGGATGCATGTGCCTCTCTGGAGCAGGAGTGGACTGTGGGAGTCAGAACGGCCCCCAAAATGTTCATGTTCCAATCACCGTCCCTACACATGCGTTAGCTTACGTGGGAAAAAGGATTTCGGCCGCTGTGGTTAAGGTAAGCACCTTGAGATGAGATTTTTCTGGTAATTACTCTAGGTAAGCCAAAGGGAGTCACAAGGTCCTTATAAGAGGGGAAGAGGAGAAATAAAGCTGAGAGTAAAGGTCGTAAGGACAGAAGCGGGGGCTGGAGGGACGCCAACGGCCTCGGAAGAGGCGAAGAACAGACTCACCCCTGGAGCCTCCAGAGAGGGAGAGAGAGAGGCCGCCGCGCAGGGAGAGAGGGAGAGAGACGCAGCGAAGGTTACCACACACCGTACGATGGGGGATGGTCCTGAGCTCTCCGCCGGGCCCGATCCAGTCACAGGCGACCTCAGAAGCAGAGAACCTTTCCTGGCTGTTGTTAAGGAGGCCTCATGGCAGCGAAGGGCCACAGACGCAGTACTGCTGGCTCTGAAGATGGGAAAAGGGGGCCACGGGCCACGGAACGCAGGTGGCCTCTAGGAGCTAGAAGCGTTAAGGGAATGATTCTCCTTTAGAGCCTCTCAAAGGAACACAGCCTTGTCAGTGCCTCAGGTTAGCCAGCGAGACGTCTAACTGCCTTGCACAGGATTACAAGGTAAGAAATCTGTGCTACTTTAGGCCTCTAAGGTTACAGTAGTTACAGCAGCCACAGAAAAGTAGCCGGGAGTGGTGGCCAAAGATGAACCGGTGTCTGGGAGGAAGAAAAGTCTTCTCTATCCTCCCTGGCGAAGCCTGCCTCACCCAGGAAGGAGTGGCTTCGGCAGAAGTGCGAGTGTGCACGCTGCTAATTCTTCAGATCCAGTCTGGCTGACGGAGTTTACATTTCTGAATCTATACTCATTTTGCCCTGGAGTAGAATACATTCTGGGTCGAACACTTAGAACAGTGTTCAGTATATGTAGTGGGTCCCTTAGAAAACTGTGTTGAATGAATAAACGGATGTGATCAAGACAGGCTCTGGGAGGGATTCTTCTTCTTCTCAAGTGCTGTTTAACAGGTCTTCTCAAGAACCGCTGATGACCTTTACGTCTTTGTTTCTGGTCTATGATGGTCATAGTTCTGTGAAATACAAGGCCAAACTGTACTGTTTGACACGATAGAGCTAAATCAGTGAGTAAAAAGGATGCATACAATCTTAATAGGAATCATCATACGATCAGAGTATTTCAAAATCAGAATACAGATACTTTTCAGTATATATCACAGAAAAAATTTCAAAACTATTTGATCAGAAGATCTCTCGATGGCTGTTCACCAATGCAGCATCAAGGAACTTTAGTGCAAATTTTACCAAGCGCATTTATCAAAACGGGGTTTTGTTCGTTCTCTCTGCAAACAAATGCTGTTACATTAACACAGAGCATGTAACAAATTGGTTTGCCTGGACTTTCACAGGCTATCAACATAAGCCAGCCCTGTAACCTCAAACATGTTTATCCCAAAATCTATTCCTTGTCCAAATTCATCTATACTAAGGCTGGAAGACAGAATAAGAGTAAAAACAAAATTTGTCTGTATAAATAATAAAAATAGTTTGTTTTCTTAATGCTGTACGTGTTTTCCTTATTAGTGTGGCACATGATCTTTCCTACATGCTCCTGCACAGGTAGGAACAGTTATTTCAGCTGCTGGAGGATCACAGTGTTAAGAATATCTGCTTCTTGTAGTGTCAGGCTTTCATCTGTGAGCTCTTTGTTTGGAAATGAAGTCACAAGAATAAAGTCAAGAGTTGCAAATTCAGGACGGGACTGTATAATAAAGTCCCGGACATCTAGGATCCTAAAGAAATAAGATAAAAATAATTTGTGATATTACAGGTTTTATTTTAATGTAAGCTTTCAGCTAAAATTAGATGACGATAATATAAGTCACACAGTTCTAATCCTTATTTAAATGTGTTGTCAACTTTTAGAAACTTACATTATTTCAACAGATGGATTTCTCCTGGACTATAGATAACATATGAGCATGGACTCTGAGTGTAGCTAATACTTCCTTTAACTGTAAACAGAGATATCCTTTAGGTGTTTCATGCACAGAATCCATTTCAACCATGTTATTAACACTTTTTTCAGAGTATAAAATATCTTAGCAGCAGATGACCCAGAAAAAGATACTTTGATTGGCCCGTGTCAAGGTGAGTTTCTAACCACCAAAGGTATAAGTCATAAGGATAATTTTAAAAAATGACTCTCACATATTCCTGGTTATAACTCAACTAAAGTTATAAACATATCCCTTAGAGGGAATCAATGAACAAATAAAAATGGTACCTTATGAGTACAACGTATGTACAAATGAATGTTAAAATGACATTTAAAAGTTCTTTAAAGTACTTGTCAATAGCACAATTACACTTTATCTACACTACAAATTTATATTATGAAGAATTTGCTAAGCAGAAAGTTAACTCCAATCAGAATTATAATTTTTAAATGAGTAAAGTCCAATGAAGGTTTTAGTACATTTGCTATATCAAGCCAAATTTGATCCCACTTTGCTTGGTTTTAGCAACAGTGCAAAACTGCAATTTTTTAACAGTTTTCTTTTTGAGTGATTCCTGAGTTTGCATTAGTATGTGACCAGTTTACAGAGGATGTTCACACAGCTATTATCGTTTTATTTTCCTTCTGTCAAAAACTTACTTAGAAAGTGTATCTAATGAATTTCCTGTTTCTCTCCTCACGCCGCATGGTTTTATTCGGATGAGTATAACCACGTATAAAACTGCAGTCAAGCTCACCTGTGTGTACTATTGAATCTTTGTATCAAACGACTCCCATCTGCTAATCTGATTTGAATTTTGGTCGTTGGCACTGAATCATCGATAAGAACAACGGCATTAAGTATGGATTTGTCCTCCTCTTCCGGGGACGAGGGGGAACTGACTATCTCAGGCGTGAGGCTAAGAAGGAAGAATTGGAGAATGAGAACACAAGTCTGAGCACATAAGACACGAACCAGTGAAGACAGTGGAATCATCACTGGCGTCCGCAGCGGACTCTCCAGGTTTCCCGCCTGTGACTTCTGGGCCAGCCACAACACGGCTTCCTTTGAGACTCCCACAATTCTTCCACCCTCTTTCATTATACTAAAGTTAGCTCGTGTCCTAGGATTCTAATTTAGTTTATCCAATCTCTTGCACAAGCTTAACTCTGTAGGGCGCCTGGGGGCTCAGTCAGTTGAACTTCCAAAACTTGATTTCAGCTCAGGTCATGGTCTCACGGTTTGTGGAATTGAGCCCCGTGTCAGCGCAGAGCCTGCTTGGGGGGCTGTTCCTGTACTTTAATCTTTCTGTTTAAAACAGATTTGGACTGGGGCACTTGGTGGCTCAGGAGGTTGGGCATCTGACTTTGGCTCAGGTTAGGATCTCACAGTTCATGGGTTTGAGCCCCGAGTTCAGCTGTGTGCTGACAGCTCAGAGCCTAGAGCCTACTTCAGATTCTGTGTCTCCCTCTCTCTCTGCCCCTCCCACCCCGCTCTCACTCTGTTTCTCAAAAATAAATAATTTTTTTTTAAAACAGACTCTGGATAGAAGCTTCCTCTCAAAATATAAAAAGAACCAAGTAGGGAAACTAGGTAAGGAAAGCTGTTTCATGTGTTTTTTTTTAGAAGATGTGTATATGTCAAAATGAAATTATGTGGAATAATAACATTTGAGAACCGGGATGGATTTACAGAGTAGTTTCGGCCAACCATACCACTTTATAGGAAAAAACAAAGTCACAGAGACTGAAAGACAGTTTCAAAGCCACAAGAGATAGCTAGTGGAGCAAGCTGGTTAGCAAGGTATAAAAACACATTTTAAAAACTTATGGTAACTTTAATATTTAGCCTCCAAAGTTATACATCTTTACTAAATATTAAAACATTCTCCTGATCATTCAGCTGACCTAAATATAATGACATTTTCAATATACTGTTTGTAGGTTTCAAGTATTACATTAAAAAGAAAATAGAGGGAAGTTAACTGATAAAACAAACTTTCTAGGCAAATGGGAGGAAAGGATGTAGGTTGGTCGCAAGAGAAGTGAGTCCCGTGCTCAGAAGAGAAGCATCTTCTAACTTACGAGACGACAGGAAGGATGGAGTTCATAAACTGGAGGCTAAGAGGAATATAGTAAGAAAGTTAATTCTTGTCAGGCTGTTTTCTCAGGGAAGCTAGAAGGAAAAAAACCCCGCTGAGGGCTGGAAACATTTGGGATGGGCCCTTTGAGAGACGGAGAGGGCAGCCTGCCCGTCGTCCGTCTGGGGGTGTCCAGGGTGGGGGCGCGAACATCGCCAACAGTACTGGATGGCACTGGGGCAGACAAATCCGAAGGCTGAACAGCAGGGCAAGGGGCTGCAGAATGGCTGGGATAAGAAAAGGCAGAAATGAGAAGAAAACGCAGGAAGGAAAGGACTGTTTGGTTTTAGAGAAGAGAGCCCTTAGGGTCCAGGGATCAAGAGGAAGTCAAAACTCAGAGTGGCCGAGTGGTAGATGGGTTCTTCCACGCTGCACACTATGAACACAGGCAGTGGCTGCTCTGAAGCAGAGAGATGGCTTCTGATCATGATCTGTGTCATCATACACTCGAGCTCACGAGCCTACAGCGACGGTGCACAGCGATTTACCGCCCCACTAACCAAGGCCTGCATCCTAACACTGATTCTTGGTCATATATTTACATAAGAAAGAATATGTACAAAGCAGAGAGGTGGCTGGGCATTTTACCTGTGTTCTGAATTAAAACTCATAAACTCAATAAACGTTCAGAAATGAGAAGTGCTAGAAAATATTTTGAAAAATATATCTGGCGGTCATAGTTATAAGAACAAAGGGGAGGAAGAAATCAACCAGGAGACAGGCGAGCCGTGTTGGTGGTAAGGAGAGAGCAGGGAGGGAATTTCCAAGTAGGTCTGTGAGCAGGCACTGAAGGCTTTGGGTCCTAAGAAAAGCCAGGGTAACCCGTGTTCCTGGATTCTCTGCACGTCTCAGAGGTCAGTCTCTATCAGGAGAAAAGGACACAGAAAGGGAGACTCGAGGTATGAAGGGCAAGTGTAAATAACTGAGGTGAATTCTTCCCTCTCTTGAGAAATGTGAGGGGAACAGAGAACCAGTGTGCACAAGGCAAGTGAAAAGCACGTGGACGGGAAGGCATCACGTGGAAAGGAACAAAGGACGCGCTAACAAGGGTATCCTGGAAACATGGCTCGTGTCACCATTTTACGTGCCACTGACGTGGACAACGAGGCTAACTTTTACCAAAAGATTTATGGGATTTATGAAAATTCTTTTAAGCCACGCTACTCTAGAGGAGCCCACTCACAGACACATTATGCAATGCACGTGGGTTTCTGAGCCGCACTGGGCAAAGTCCTAGGGGATCTTTGGAAACATCTCCAAGGCAATTCCTTCCTTCTACAATCCATGCTCAGGTTTTACCAAGTGTTTTACATGTTGGGTTTCCCTAACTTGAAGAAAGAGTTTAGTGGCTTAAAATACACTGAAAACAACCAACTTCAGCACACTGCTCTTGATGCAAAAGCTCAGCAGACAGGCAAGATTATAGCCGAGACCTAAGATACGGGTTGTTTAATCTAATCAACAGCCCTGTACAATTTCCCATTTTTCGCCTGTGTACTCAGAAAGAGGGAGGAAGGCACAGAGGTGGAAAGCACAGACTCAAGCCAGAATGTGGGGTATGAATGCCACAGAGGAGCCACTTCCTAGCTCAGTCACCTTGGGCAAACCACTGCGTCGGCAAGTGAAGTAATCACAGGATCTGTACCCAAGAGGTGTGAAGGTGAAGTGAGTCAATGTGCGTTAAAGTGCTCTCTGGGCCAGGGATGTGGTAACTGCTATCTAGGTATTAGCTACTAATATTATCACTAGATTTGCATATCTAATTCCCCCAGCAAGGTCTTTACAGTTCATGGTTTCGTTTTTACTCTCTAGGTTATTTTGCTTTTTCTTATTCTCTAATAAAATCCAAGTTGAACAAAGATAAGTATTTTTCTGACTTTGGGATTTTTACCTTCCAAGTTTTTGTCCTTCTCCACTAAAAGCCTTGAACCTCAATCTAGGTTTTATGTATTCTTGATCCTGATGGTCCTCCATATCCAAGTTCACATGGCCGCCGTGAACCAGACGCTGAAGCTCCAGGGGAATCTCTCTTTTGGAAAGGGAAAAGGGTTTTAGTGAGTTTAGAAAAAATTAACCTATGCTGCTGACATTATTACAATCAAGTTGTGAGCTACACTGGGAAACAGTAATTTCTGCTTAAATTATAATCTAGAAATTTCCATGATGATTGATTCATCCCTGTAGGTATTTTCTTCTTCAAGCTGCATCCATTATGATGCCTCCAGCTTTGCTTTTCTATTTCAAAACTGCTTTGGCTATTCGGGGTCTTCTGTGGTTCCATATACATTTTAGGATTGTTCGTTCTGGTTCTGTGAAAAATGCTGTTGGTATTTTAACAGGGATTGTATTACATGTGTAGATTGCTTTGGGTAGGATAGACATTTTAACAGTATTTGTTCTTCCGATCCATGAGCATGGAATATCTTTGCATTTCTTTGTGTCCTCTTTAATTTCTTTCACAATGAGGGGTCACTTCACACCTGTCAGAATGGCGAAAATAAAAAACACAAGAAACCGCAGCTGTTGGCCAGGATGTGGAGAAAAACGAACCCTTCTGCACTGCTGGTGGGAATGCAAACTCGTGCAGCCACTCTGGAAAACAGGACGGAGGTTCCTCAAAACATTAAAAACAGAACTACCCTATGATCCAGCAATTGCACTAGTGGGTGTATATACAAAGAATTTAAGAACACTGATTCAAAAGGACACCACCCCCTGTATTTATAGCCACACTGTTTACAATAGCCGAAACATAGAAGTAGCCCAAGTGTCCATGAACTGATGAATGGATAAAGGTGTGCTATATACACACAGTGGAATATCAGTCAGCCACAAAAAAGAATGAAATCCCACCGTTTGCAATGATGTGGATGAAGCTAGAGTATTATGTTAGGTGAAATACTCAGAGAAAGACAAATACCATATGATTTCACTCATATGTAGAATTTAAGAAACAAAACAAGTGAGAAGAAGAAAAAAGAGAGACAAACCAAGAAACAGACTGTTAGCCATAGAGAAGGAGCTGATGGTTATCAGAGGGATGGTGGTGGGGTGTGGGTGAAATAGGTGGGGAGATTAAGCTCATATTTGTGATAAGCACTGGGTGAGGCAGGATCGATCGTGATACTGAGCACCTGGAATGAATGTAACGCTGGATGATGACCGCAGTGCAATCAGAATCTTGCTGCAGTAAAAAAAGCTGCATCACATTATTCCTTAGAGGTTCTCAATACAGGGACTTTTTGTCGTCACGGTGATCTTGGAGTGCTTCTAACACTTAGCCAAATCGTAAGACGGCGACTTATACCTAAATAAACACTAGCGGATAGTTACCACAGATATTTACTTCTAAACTCTCTGGAAGAACTAGAAGTTTGAAAGCGGACAGGGCCTCACACTGGCGTGGGCCCCGTGAGTGCCGCTGCTGGCCGGGGGCGGCCACGGCGATTCATCTCGCCTCGCCAGCCCTTGTGTCGGGTTCCACAGGACGACTGGAGGCCCTGCCAGACACGCAAGGGACGAAGCGCTGAGCGTGATGTCTGAGGCTAGAACTTCCGGCTTAGGGTCCGTCTCACACAAAAGCAAAACCTTTTTTTGGGGGGAGGGCACTGTATTAATGTACTACGAAAATTTCAGGAATGTGTGTAACATATAAACTGACAGAAGACTGCACTTTGTTTTGCTTGGAACTTTACCAAGTCCTTGACTGCATGGCCACTGAGAGTGACTATACTGCCAAAGTCACATACCTCATCCTTCCGTTTTTACGCTTGTGGCATTTTCTTGAGAGGTGCCAGACTGCACACAGGCACAAATTACATGCCTCCTTTTATTATGCCTTCCGGCGTGGGCAGGCGAAAGCATTTATAAACTGAAATATGTGGGGCGCCTGGGTGGCTTAGTCGGTTAAGTGTCCGACTTTCGCTTAGGTCATGATCTCGCGGTTCGTGGGTTCGAGCCCAGCGTCGGGCTCTGTGCTGACTGCCAGCTCAGAGCCTGGAGCCTGTTTCAGAGTCTGTGTCTCCCTCTCTCTCTGACCCTCCCTAGCTCACGCTCTCTCTCTCTCTCCTAGAAATAAATAAAAAACATTTAAAAAAAAAAAAGAAATATGTGCAATTTTATTATAAATTACTTTCCTTTATTTCAATATATTTAGGGTAAATTTTATATCCTATTTTGGGGCAATAATACACACGGACCGACTGTATTACCTGTGAGTTCTTCTTTGAGGATAGTGAAGATGGTGGTACAAAATATCTGTCATAAAAAGAGAATGGTGGTCCTGGACTTGACAACCACTATCTGACATCAATCATTTTGTTTAAGGAGACTTTTTAAAAACTGTTCTTGATCATAATTTGTAGTTCAAATTAAAACTCCTCAAAAAACTCTTTTAGGATACCGTGACTGCTTCAATGTTAGCCCACAGAGGTTATGGATTCTTTTCATTTAAGAATAAATGAGTTTTGATCTACATTATTGTACATCGGACATCAGTATGTTCTTGCCTTCCACCATCTTGAAATGAGCATCAATTTCAATAGCAACGCTGACTTTCACTTAGCACGTCTTTACTTCCCCACCCAGCTGCTCCCAGCTCTGCCCAGTGACTGCAGGTTTCCAGGCCCACAGCACTGACTTAAACTATCATTTCCATCTATTTACCATCACCACATACTGCCTTCGAGGACAGCTTCCCACCTGTCTTCAGCCTGTCGCCTACAGCATGTAGGCATTTTTGGTACCATTTTTTGGTATCCTAACACTATCTTTGTAGAATTCAAATTCAAAATTCATGCTTAGTGTCCTAAAAATACCATTCCTTTAGAGGTTCCTGGCTCTGTCAACGCCAATGAGTTTCACCTCTACTCCACTTCGGCCACTCTCCTTGGACATATCTTGTCTGTACCACTTGGACGAACTACAGAGATGATCCCTGAAAGTATAGTCTTACCTGCACCACTTGGAAAAGCCCCAGCTTCAGTTCCTGGATGGAACATAATCTCCTACTCCAGTCCCTTCACTGCTACTTAAATCTCCCGCTTCCTCACGAACCTTTTCTGTTTACTTGTATTTCTACTTAGGAATGATCACGTTGTCAGCCAGTGACCGCACACTGCAGAAAAGCTTTTACAACCACAGCAAAATCACTTGATTCCTCATCCTTCAGCAAGAAGGGCTGGTGAGCTGTGATGTTCTTCCGATGGGTCAGATCACTGCATGTCTGGTTTACTTTCACAAACCGTAACTTCAAACTATCCTTATGAAATCTTCTGGCAGCAGCAGTGCCACCTTAAAAAATGTTTAATAGAAGCTGCTGAATTTCAGGCATCTAGACACCCAACGAGGGTCATCCTGCTAACAGTGAGCAGGAGAGTGGCTTGGAGGATGGCAGCTGCATGCTAATCAATGCACTGGATTTACTACATTAAGATGCTTCTTCTCAGAACTGGGCCCATAGCTTGATCAGATTTTCGAAAGGGCCAATGTCCACTGTCCCTCCCCACCAAGTTAAGAACCAGAGACTTACTGAGAGCAACATACCCTTTAGATACGTAAAAATACCCTTCCCCCAGCAACCGTCACATAATACATTCCAGTATCTTACAAAAGATCCCCCCTGAGTAACAAATGGAACACAAGTAATACATCTTACCCTTTTTTAACAGATTCCAGAAACTGAGCATTTGGGGGGTCATTATATGGTCTCAGCTCTCCATCATCTAAACTGAAACCATTGCTCCACAGTTTAAGCAAAATCTGAACCTTTTTTAGGAAAAAACACAAAGAAAGACAAGAATCCATCTGTACCAAATATAAGCTTCCACCGTGATATTTCACAACACACTAAGCCATCTACTTTATTTAAAATGTGGAGTTATTATTTTTTATCCACAGTTAAAATAAAGGCCTAAATGAAAGCACGTGTTTGCTTTGCAGATGTGCATGTAGCTTAACAAACCGACAACGGCTGAAATACCAAAGGTCCCACAGCTCGACCCTGGCCTTGAAGTCCCATTATCCTGGGTCACTGAGAAAAGGAAAGGATGGAGAGCATACAGCTGTCACCCCCCCCCCCCCCCGCCCCTTCTCACTCATCTGTGCCCACCTGCCTGCGGTCCACAGGGCTTGCGTGTTTATGTCAAGGGGCAAGAGAGAATTTCCAAGGACCCTCCAAGGCTACACTAGGCATGTTTAAATGAAATTGAAACTCCACATTTTAAAAGGCACAAACAAAGCCTGAGTGTAGGGGTCTCCCTGTTTACAGCTCAGCTTTTCCTGTATTCGGACAGTTTGCCACTTACAGTAATTTTTACTGTATGTATGTAAAGCTCGTTTTGACAGCGAATCAGAGATTCTTTCAACATACAGAAAACACTTGCAATCTAAGTACAAGGCACAACGGAGATACAAAATATAAAATTTGAGACTAAAAGCTTACACATTAATCCTTTTAAAATTCATGCTTCAAAAAGTAACAGAAAAAAGATTATATTACAAGTTTTTAAATTTAAAACAGTAGTAACTAGAGGCAAATATCTACAATTTTTCATCTTGCTACTGTACCTACATCTTGCAGTTGATTTTCTCCATAGATATATTCGGACCGCTTACAAAAGGAATTACCCAATCTATATCCTCCACCTGTAAATGACTAAAATACACAGCAAATGAGCTAAAAATTCACTAAGGTTTATAGTGAAAAATGTTTTAATGTATGATATATATTTCAAAACTGGATCAGTTATAATTAGCCCAAATGGTTTATACTTTCGAGGAAAACTTTATATTGAAATGAAGCTCTTATGTTACAGAGAAGTATACTCAAGAAATTATGTTTCTTCCCATGAAAACATTAGTGACCCAAGTTGAAATGATTTAGGCCAATCTTATATTTAAAAATGCATTTACATACTGAAATATTTTCAAATATAAGCAGATTTTAAAAAACCACCATTAATATTTTATGTCTTATAAAAATTATGTTTCAATCATAGTTCACAAAGTAAATAACAGTTTCACAGAGCTAAGGAAGAGCTTTATAAATGGGTATAAATTACCCTGAAGAAAGGCTGCATATTTATTTTATAAGCTGCTTTTACTTAACTGTAACAATCTACTATGATTGTACTTTTTGTTTTATTGTACTGACCGCAAGGTCTCCTATTTTTCAGGGAGAAAAGCTTATGAAGTAAAAATGCCATTCCTCTTAATTACCCATGTCATAAACGAGCCTTTAATGATCACATATCTTTCTTTTCTATAGACTAATCCATAAAAAGAAAAAAGATACACTGGACTTTGTCAAAATTAAAAACTTGTGTTCTGTGACAAGCCCTGGTAAGAGGGTGAAAAGACAACTACAACCTGAAAGAGAATATCTGTGATCTGGGGCGTCTGGCTGGCTTCAGCTCAGGACAGGATCTCAGAGTATCATGAGTCTGAGTCCCGCATGGGGCTCTGTTCTGGCAGCGAGGGGCCAGCTTGGGATTCTCCCTCTCTCTCTGCCCCTCCCCTGTTCATGCTATTTCTGTCTCTCTTCAAACAAAAAAACTTAAATATATATTATTTGCAATTCATATATTTGACAAAAGACGCATACCTCTTAAAAAGTGTAAAGAACTTTCAAAACAGTGACAAACCAACCTGAAAATAGGCCAAAGTCATTGTTGTAGGCATAGCAAAGAGAACGGCAAATAAGCACATGAAAAGGTGTTCAATATCCCTAGCCATTAGGAAAATGCAAACTAACATCATTGGCCATTAAGAAAGTGACAATTTAAACCACAATGAGTTATAACTACACACTGATCACAAGGGCTAAAATTTAATTTTTTTAAATGTTTCTTTTTTTGACAGAGAGAGAGAGACAGAAGGTGAAAGGGGGAGGGGCAGAGAGAGAGGGAGACACAGAATCTAAACAGGCTCCAGGCTCTGAGCTGTCCGCACAGAGCCCGACGCAGGGCTCGAACCCACGAACCGCGAGATCATGACCTGAGCCGAAGTCGGACGCTCAACCGACTGAGCCCCCAGGCGCCCCCAATGGCTGAAATTTAAACCCGTGACCACAGCCCGTGCTGGCGAGAACGCAGAGGCCGGGCGCCACCCCCTGCGGAAGAGCCGCAGGCTCTAAGAGGCTGACCGTGCGCTGGGCCCGGGAGCAGCCCCGGCCTCCCGGCCCCACCCCGGGCAAGGAACGCGGGGTCCACGCACCCCACAGCCGCTTCGCCCGGAGCAGCCCCGCACCGGAAACCCCCACCGTGGCCAGGTCACCGGTGGGCGGCCCGGGGGTGGCGCCTCCATGCCCGGGTGCGACTCGGGGCCTGGAGAACACGCTGCGAGACTGCTCGGCCGCCCGTCGCGCCGCTGCTCCCCGGGGCGCTCGGCGAGGGGGGGGCGGAGCCCGGGCGGCCGCGTCCGTGAGGGGCGGGGCTGTGCGTGACGCGTGACGCCGGCAGCGCCCCGACGCCCGGGCGCAGCGGCGCGGAGCCGCACGCGCACACGGACGCGCACACGGACGGGCCAGGCCCGGCTCTGACGCCGCGCGCAGTCACGTAAGACGCAGCCCCGGGGGAAGCGGGGAGCGCGCGGGGCCTCTGCGCAGAGCCGCACGCTCACGGGAATCCCTAACTCTTCGTTAAGAAAGGTCCACAGAGAAGGTCCACAGAAGTGTGAAACCTCGCTGCAACTTTCCATCATCAACACAGAGATTACAGTCTTATAAAAATAGAGCGAATTTAAACTACAAATATGGGGGCGCCTGGGAGCTCCGTCAGTTAAGCGACCGACTTCGGCTCAGGTCATGATCTCGCAGTTCGTGGGTTCGAGCCCCGCGTCGGGCTCTGTGCTGACTGCCAGCTCAGAGCCTGGAGCTGCTTCAGATTCTGTGTCTCCCTCTCTCCCTGCCCCTCCTCCGCTCACGCTGTCTCTCTCTCTCTCTCTCTGAAATAAAACATTAAAAAAAATTTTTTTTAAATAGTAAAAAAAAAAAAAAAATGTAGTTAGAAAATGATGTTTGCAAATAATATAAACACCTACAGAGGAGATCAAATATATAAACAGTGGATTTCGTGTTTAAATTTAGCACTTACCTTAGATTTGTTATCACCCGAGGCTCTTGGGGCTTCGTTCAGAGGGACAGCCCCATGTTCTCTTGCCTCCTTGAAAAGTTCATTCACAATTTTCCCAGGCGAAGGTCGAACTATATGTAATCCACTGTATTCACGTTCACTTGAGTACAACCTTTCAACATTGAAGTGCATGAAGAAAAACAGAGTACAATTGTAAAGTCCTTTAAAGTAAAGAGCTACAGTCTCGGGAGGTAACTTTTGTTTAAGAACCATTTCTACGACCTCTGTGGAAATATTTAATTAAGAATGGGATTAAGGAACGAAAGGATAAACAGTTCATACATTTTCTCATGATGGGTCTGTGGAGACTATGGGAGTCAAGCGCAGCATCTCACACGAGAACTGGCTTGTCACTCCTCTCCCCCTTCTGTAACTGCTGATCAAACGCATCTCTTGCACAACGTGGGCCCCCTTGGTGTGGCGGGCAAAGCAGTGTGGACCATCACGATTAAGTCTCTTCCTGTGAAGAATCCACATTCAGTAGGGACCTGGTTAGTGAAGGTCTAGGCATAGGGAATTTATTCCGCAGAGGTTTTTGGATTCAAAAATTATAATTCCCTGTGTCAAAGGTAAATAATTTAGACCACAAAGAATGTTTCCAGTGTATTAGCTACAAAGTGACCAATTTCTAGTCTGACTTCAACTTCATCATGGTCCCAGGGAACATTAAAAACTCACATAATGTTTTACATAAGATTTTATCTATTTTATCTTTCAAGATGTTTTTTCAGTCAAGAGTATCAGAAAATCTAACCAATGAAATATCGACATGGAGACAGCCAGAATAAGAGAACAATCGAAGCTCATATGTTTAACTACCCAAACCCTCCAATCCAGTTCCAAACCTGTACTAAACTGACTCTGAAAACAAAGAAGGGAAGATTACATCAATACTGGAGGCTAAGAATAGCCTTTCTGCAAAATTGGAATATGGAAAACTGAACAGAAAAGACGGAACGGCAGAGTGGCCCTCAATTCACAGTAAGCGAAGGGAAATCCACGCGGAGAACAAGTGGACACCACCAGAAGGCTACAAAGGGACTAGCTCATAGCTGCTGATACAGGGGTGCGGCGGGCGGGCCTCCCTGCTAGTGCACTGGGCTAATACAGAGGGGAGTCTGCCCAGAGCAGGAGACACTGGAAGCTTTCGGGCCAAACTTATCCTCAGAGGGCTCAGTGCAGCAAGCAAGGCCTGACAAATCCCTAGCTGGCTCTTTTTTTTTTTTTTAATTTTTAAAAAATGTTTATTTATTTTTGAGAGACAGAGTGTGAGCAGGAGAGGAGCAGAGAGAGAGGGAGACACAGAATCCGAAGCAGCTCCAGGCTCTGAGCTGTCAGCACAGAGCCCGACGCAGGGCTCGAACCCACGAACCGCGAGATCGTGACCTGTGCTGAAGTCAGACACTTAACTGACCGAGCCCCCCAGGCGCCCCCGGAGCTGGCTCTTCAGACAGGCGGCAGTACCGGGAGGAGCTGGAGTTAAGGCAGCCGTGAGGAAGGAAAGGAAGAGGAAGGAGGAACGGACAACCAGAAGAAGAGCTGCTGCGCCTCCTTCCCTCCCTGTCCACGTCTGTTCTGGAAAGCACAGCTCTTCGGTTCCTTTTGATCTCAGTCGTGGTCAGAAAGGCCTTACAGGAAAACTGACGTGAGACAAGATCGACTAGCTCCTTTAGGGTTCATGGTTTTACTTCCTGTTTAAGAAACCTCTGCCTGCCTGAAGGTCATGGAGATATTCCACTTTCTTCCAGAAGTTTTAGTGCTTCCTTTAATTATATTTTATTTTCCTTATTATATATTGTTTTCCTATTCATGTTTCCTTTTATATTGAGAGCCACAATCCATCCATTTCTCCTCTTTCATGGTTAGCACACCTCTGTCCTGGACTCCTGCTCCCAGCCTAAACTCCTGATCATGGAAACATCTGTGCGCTTCCGCAGGTAACAACCTCCTCTACAGAGGATTCTCAAATACGGCTTTAGTCCCCTGTGACTTACGGGGTCCAGGGCTGAATTTAAAAGCACCTACTGAATCAAGTTCAAGTCTCCAAAACTAAACCTGTATTCCCCACATGAATCTTCTCATTAACAGTCACATTTTTCCCCTGCACAGCCTTTAGGTCTCTCTTTCCCGTTCATGTGCGCTCTGTATCCACGTTATCACATTTCTACAGTAAATTCTCTGGAAGTATCCCACACGGATTTCACTCTTTCTCCTCCATCCCGCTGATGCCACTTGAGTTCGATGTTTTATTACCACATTCCTTAGATTACCGTCATTGTTTTCCTCTTAGTTTCCTTACCTTGTTCTCCCCATTACTATTAATTTGATACTGTATCGCCAGTCCTATTTTTCTACAAATATATAATAATAATAACAGCTAACACTTATCAAGGAGTAACCACGTGCTCATTTAATCCTCATAACAATGGTATTCTCTCTGACTTACAGAGAAAACTAAAGCTTAGGGCGTTTAAAACACTGGTCCCTTGGTAAAACCTTAGAACAGAGAGGGAAAAAAATGAGAACTGAAGTGTATTGATCTCTAGAAACAAAGCTTTTCTATGGGATAGTTTTTATCATAAAATTTACATTGAAAAAGAGATACTGGCTTTCCATTGCCTTCTACACCAGTACCAGCGCCTGTGGCTTCCAAGGAGGCTGTGTGTCCATAATGTGGCTTAGTGCCCCATGAAAAGGAGTCTCCGTGTTCCAAAGTCGTTAGGAATTTCAATGCAGTAACGGCCCATTAACCCTGGCACGTGGCCTTTCTCAGCCTGGGGCTCTGCGTGAAGGCACAGGTCGGATACCAGGAGGCACACCCCGCCTGCGCTCCACGCAGCCAGCGCTCCACGCTGACTTGTCTGCCACCGCTTGGCTACAGTTCTGCCGGGCCCCCTTCGGATCCCTCCCACCATCCCTGCTACATTCTCCTCTGTGCCTACTTGGTTAGGAATTCCGTCCCCGGTCTTTGGTGCTCATCTACATCCTAATAATCTTTGAAGGTCCAGCTAAGCTCCAACACTGTGCTAGCCATCTTAAACATTTTATCTCATTTAGTTCTCAAAATAAAACTACTATCTAATGATTAAAAAGAACTTTTTTTTTTAAGTTCTCAAGTTTTTGAACAACTCCAACTTCATCGTTGTTCAATGTGAGCAAGGAGGGACATTTTCTTTTAGGTTCTGTTATATGTGAACTTTGGCAGGTGAACATGTTAAAGCAGATGTCAGGCTATCTTCTGAGAGTTTTGTAGGTTCTATTCCTCCTCTCCTAAATTAAAATCATAGACCACATTATGTGCATAGTGCCAGAAAGGAAACTGGATTAAAAAATGACAATGAGCAGATAAATAATTTGATACGCATTACTGCCCAAGAAAGTGAACCCTGAAAATAAGCAGTTTTTTCTGTACCAAACAAAGCAGTAGAGATGCAATGAAACTGGGTATAGGTCAATGTGGAGGATGGAATCAAAAGAACTATATACTTAGGATTAGAAAATAGCATACTGAGTTAAAAAAAAAAAAGATTGCCAATAACTTGCTTCATTGTCTTCTAAGCAGATTAAACACTGTTTAAGCCTCAACCAGTTGGATGTGTAAATAGTTGCAGAGGCACAAAGTTCTTAAAACTGCATTATCAAATTACAACTATTAAGGGCAACACGGTTTCAGACGGCACAACATAAAAGGGAAAAAAAAACATTCATTAAAATATCTTAATGACGGAGGTGCCTGGGTAGCTCAATCGGTTTTGTGTCTGACTTCGGCTCAGGTCATGATCTCGCAGTTCGAGCCCCACATCAGGCTCGCAGCTGTCCAGCCCGGAGCCCGCTTTGGGACCTCTGTCCCCCAGTCTCAGTCCCTACCCTGCTTGCACTATCTCAAAAATAAACAAACATTAAAAATTATCTTAATGATTCTATCTGAATAGCAAGGAAAACATTAATACACTAACCTTATTATGAGTAGTCAAATATTTTGATTTGTTATACCATAAACAAATTACGTTGTTCAAACAACACTCAAGTTGGGCAAACAACGGCCCAACGGTTAATGAATAAAACTTTGGTACACAAATACTTTAAGTATTTTCAAAACTTTGGAGAATATATATGTTAAGGAGAAGTGAAGATATACTGTATATATATTCTACATATATACGTGTATACACACGTGCATGCCAAATAAAAATGAAGTGAAAGGACAGGATATTCAAACAGTGCCAAGACACCAACCTCCAGATGCACAAAGGAAACCTGTACCTGACAATGGCATGATGTGGTGGTCAGCACCTTGACCAATGAACTTATCACCAATGGTGAGGCAACCTGAAGTTATATGGGTCCTGATGTGATATAATAAAGAGGAGACAATATCACTTACTAGTATTCTTGACAAATAGGTTTCACAAGAATCTAAATCCCCAACAGGCATACTCAAGCAGATGGCATGGCACTGCTTAGATCCTAAATCCAAAAAAGGCTCGAAGAAAGATCCGTGGACTAGATAGTCCATGATTTCAGGAAATCACTGTTCATGTTCTCAGCTGTGATATGCTGTGGGGTTATAAAGGCGTATGTGCGCCTTCTTAGTGGGTGTACGCTGACCTATCTATGAAGTGTTATGATGACTGCAATTTGCTTTCAAGTGGTTGAGTTGAGTGCTTGCGTGGATGTAACGCCGTAACATGTTAACAACTGGGAAGCACAGGGGACACATATCCAGCCCGTATGCACTGTACTATTTTGTGATTACCTACAGGTTTGAAAATTCATAAAACAAAGTTTGGGGGAAAATCAACATTCTTTCTTCTCATTCATGCCCCCAAAAGGTACATCATTTTTATCTCCCTTCCAGAAAAAAAGGATGTGGAGTAGTGACAGACAAAAAAGAAAGAATAATTTCTAGTGAATTCTTAAACTTCTTATTATACAATGATAGCCTTTCTGCAAAGGAGATATAATGGAAAAATTCCAAGTTTCTCCCCAGTGATGAAATTCGCAGTATTAAAAAGACAATGAAAACATTCCCAGAAACAGGAGAACTCATGGTAATGAAGTGTACCGGACTCTCATCTCTTACATCTTCGTGGCTGGTTCTCGTTCTAGTTCAGGGATTTTAACAATAGCAAATACTGTGTAGGAGATCACTTATTAGATAGGTCATCATCCAGGAAATCATAGGTTCCTGAAGGTCTAGAGTCTTTATTTAAAAAAAAAATTTTTTTAATGTTTTACTTATTTTTGAGAGAGAGATAGAGACAGTGTGAGCAGGGGAGGGTCAGAGTGAGAGGGAGACACAGAATCTGAAGCAGGCTCCAGGCTCCGAGCTGTCAGCACAAAGCCTGACGCAGGGCTCGAACCCATGAACCATGAGATCGTGACCTGAGCCGAAGTCGGACGCTTAACCGACTGAGCCCCCCACGCACCCCTGAAGATCTAGATTCTTAAATGGAGGATAAAAGACACATAGTGGCTCCATGAGTGGGTTTTCAGAAACACAAATCCTTAAAAACAATCGATCAAATTGTGCATACATGCTGTTTGGTGGGGGAACAGGCTATCGCTTTTGTCATATCTCAATGTGTCCTACGACTCAAAAAGGACCTCTGTGTCCAAGAAAAACACTATTTAGTGTGTATTTCTTTATGATGTCTACCAGTGTCAGGTATTTAAGATAATTCTTCTGTGTTTCTTTTAGCCTTCTACTGCTGTTCTTTGAATACTACCTAAATAATATTCATTTTAGAAATTACTGTTTTAAAAATAATTCCCAAGGCCATTTAAAATAACTTAGGATTGGTGAACTAAAAAAGACATATGGTGTTTAGAACCCAAACAAGACAAAAACAAAACACGACTTACCTCTGAGGTGGTGTTCGCGGGCTTTTAAAGACTGTAGCTTTAGGTCTATCAGATTTGGAAGATTTGCATTTCACTTCATCTTCATATAATTCTGCCAAGGCCAACTGTAAAACAACAGATCTGTTATGAAGTGTAACACTAGGAATGAACTCTTATACACAAGTAGAAAATAAGAGTAAAATACTAACTTATGATGGAGTTGTAAAAAAAATTTTTCAAGTTTACTTATTTATTTTTGAGAGAGAATGTGTGAGCAGGGGAGGGACAGAGTGAGAGAGAGAAAGAGAGAATCCCAAGCAGGCTCCACGCTGACAGCGCAGAGCCCCACTTGGGGCTAGACAGTGAGATCATGACCTAAGCTGAAATCAAGAGTCGGGTGCTTAATTGACTGAGCCAGCCGGGTGCCCCTGAGTTGTTAAAATTTTAATGAAAAATCAAGGCTGCTATTTCAGATGACCCCCCTTCCAAAATAAAATCAACGTATCTCTCACTTGATAAAATAATAAAAATGCCACATATACTAGAATAAATTAGTTACAATAACTGCTTCATTACTTGGAATGAACTACGCAACCATTTCAAAAACTGCATTTGGTAACAGATCATTTTCAAAGTTGGGTCTACAATTAAAAAAATACTTGAAGATGTATTACCCTAATGTCAGTCTGCTCTCATAAAATTCTTTCATTTTGCTGTTCAAGTTTGAAAAATCCAAGCACATAAAATAATTTCAAAATTATTCTATTTAAAAGCCTACCGGACATCTCACTTTCATCAAGTTTTTTAAAAAATGAACTTTTAAAACAATAATGAATGATATATATGGTTTATATAACTTTTAGAAAGCAATGCTACCAAATTATGCATTATAGATATATGGCTGGGTACCTTCAAAATGAAAAAATATACCACATAGTTCTTGAAATTGAAATTTTTAAGTTATTCAACTATTTCAGTACTAAGTTATTTTGTTGCCACTTTTGACATCTTGAACAATTCAAAAACTTCCCTTAATGTCCCTAAAATAGGCATGATCATAACCTCTGGAAAATCTTTTGGCGGAAAAAAAGAACTAAAAATGATATTTAGAGGGAATGAATGGTGGGATTCATGATGTCCCGCAGCATCGTGCGGTATAAGGTCATTAGCAAATGTTACGAAGAAATTTAATTTGTGTTAGTTGACACAGCAAATGATACCACACCAGAAGAGGAAGTGATTATTATTTAAACTGATCAAGATAAACTACAGTACTGGCCAAAACCAAGAGAACAATAACAGCAAAGTATCAGTCAAATAGAGAGACAGAATGCGTGCACTATGAAGTAATGAAGCCTGTGAATTACCAGGACAGAAAGTTCCACAGGCTGGACAATTAGATTATGAAGCTATTTCAATCACACAGAGGGAATAAAGCACAGAAGGACTGATCATCTTTTCTCTCGAATTTAAACTGTGAACAACCTGAGAGGAAACCCGAAGGAAAAATAAGTGAGGAAGAAGAGAATAATCAAGTATGCGGCAGAAGATGAAAGTCTTGGAATTCTCAGTCGTAGAGTGACAACTGCCAGAAGGAATCACACAGTTTATACAGAAGAGCATCGGCATCACCCGGGAACCTTTGAAAATGCAGAGGCTCCTGCCCAACCCTGACCCTGAAAAACTTGGGGGGAGCCTGCAATCTGTGCTTTATCAAGTCTTCTAGATGATTCTGACACACACTAAAATTAAGAACCAATGATACGGAATCCTGACATCCAGCAGGACTCAGAGGCTTGCGGCAGCTGTAACACAGTATCAGACCTTCTTACCTTTCCCCCAACCTACAGAACTCCACCGTTTCCCCCACCCCGGCCCTATCCACTATTTCCCCCACCCCAGTCCTAACCCCTGAAAGTACTGCATTACCTCGTAAGTACTCTAACTAACCCCACCTCCCACCTATATGAAAATATGGAATTGAGAACAGAAACCTTTTTCTTTTGATACTATTCTGGAAGGAAACTGGGATAGAAGCACACAATGAAATACGTTAACCGAGTGTGTGGGTCGACTGAGGGGAACCAGAAGAGAGAAGGGTCTCTGAAAATGTTCAGAACTATGAGCACCGAGGTTTGTAGGGTTAGTACAATCACTAACAATCCCAGCCCAAGCCTTCCCAGAGAGCATTTCCCAATTTGGGGGTAAATGAAGGGAACTGAGATCTGTTCTTGGTTTGTTTTCCAAAGGAGATTTCTGTGGTGTGTAAGTCAGGGGCTCACGGTGCTGGGAGACAACCGTCCATGTTTCCCACTGTGCCAAATGAGGAAATGTCTCCTGATGTAGACGCCAACACACCCTTAAGTGCCTGGCAGCCAGGATATACATACTTAAGGGTACCTTTTGCTCATTCCATTAGTAAAAATTACCCTTTTCCTCTATAATACTATGACCAACTCTCAGAACAAGCTTTCCAGAAAGTAAGAAGTATCTACTGAAAAGTGCATTTAAGAAAGCACAGCCCGATTAAACAATAACAAGATAATCAAACAATAATTAATATTCAAGCAACTCACTGGGGAGAACATTATTAATTTCTTTTAAACCTACTCTATTTCTTTTAAACACGCTCTATTTCTTAGTACATCATCACTTTGGTCGTTTTCAGGTTTAACTGCAAGTTCTTCAGATTCTTATTAAATTTCTAACGGAAACATTATTAGTAGTTAATGTATTTAACATCCAAATCACGTACATAAGGTATTAGTTATCTACCTACCAGCCTACCAGAAAGTAGATTAAGAACAAAAAATCCCTATCCACTAACTGATGGTGATGAGAACGGCATTCTCTGAATTAGTGACATCCACTAAAATATCTCTAACCATTAATCACGTATTCATCTGCCACATGAAGTCTGTAAATCTGCCAAGTATCAGGCAATCACGAACCAAACTTGTCTCATTTTTCACATGAAAAGAAACGGGTATTAGAGACGGGATATTAAGTTATACAGTTTTAACTTTAAGAGCGTTAGAATGGACTAGCCAGTTAAAGTTACAGTATCTTCCTCCTTTAAAGAAAAAAGGAACCAAATATTTACCAAGCAAGAACAGAGTCCAGGATAATACGGGAGTGCATGGGCTCTTCATGCACATTTCATTCTTGACACCACCAGCATCACCCCTTGCTTACACACATACACACTGAGCATCAGCGAGGTGAAGACGCGTCTCTTACACTCACAAGCCCACTAAGCGGCAGTTTCCCCAAACATCCCACGTTGCTTCTTAACGATGGTAGTCTGTGCAACAGGGAACGCGAAGGGGATGGCAGCCTCCTGTCCCCGGACTCGGTTTACGAATACTGACTTAACTCAGAGCCCTGGGACTATTCCCCATTCAGTTTATCTTCCAACCTGACACTGAGCTCTCCCTTCTCCAAAGGGTTCATCTGGCATTCAGTCCCACTCCGCCTGAAAACGTCACGTTCAATACATTCGTATATCGCTTCTGCAAGAAACAGACACAAACGCCTTTTCGCTTGCACCCCCTTCGAGCGCGGCCAGCAGCAGCGGCGGATTCTCCGTCCCACTCAGCGCGGCATTCTGGGGGGTTCGCGGTCTGTTGCACGGCAGGTGGGCAATGCTGGTTCGGAGAAGCAGAACTGAAGGTGGAACTCGAACCGAACTTTTCTACCAACGCATGTGGATTCGGTGTCACTGACTTTTAATCACACGGCTTACTAGGACTGTTTACTTGCTGAATTTTAAGGGTCTTAGGAGACGGGGGGGGCGGGAGAGGCTAAATGAGGAAAGCAGTGTTAAGGATCTGACGAGCCCTGCTGCACTCGCACGCCGCTAGCTACCGTCACCGCGAAGCCGGATCCCGCCGTTTCTTGTGTGCGGCGTTTCACACAGCGTCGCTCCGGGTGCACGGCCGTAGCTCGCCCTCCGAGGCGGGAAACGCTCTCCGATACAAAGGACCAATTTTTATACAAAAGGAATCCGGACCGAAAGCTCTTAACTCGCACGCATTACTACCTATAGAGCGACCGCCGATGCCCGCGGCCGCGGCACAGCGTTCTTCTACCGTAAGTCTCCGGACGGAGGCGCCAGCCAGGGGGCCCCTCGACGGACCCCACACGCCGCCGTTCTAAACGTTCGGCGGCCCCTTAGCCTGCAAATCGGGTGGAAGGGAACTGGGGCCCGGGCGCCGACACCACCGTTCGATGCACCGCCCTGGGGACACCTGCCCCGCCGGGGGTCCAATTCGGTCCCCTGGGGAGGGGAGGGCCCCGCCGCGCAGCCCCCGCCGCCGCGCCCCGCCCTCGGCCGCTCGCCGCACCTGCAGGTCCCGCGCGCTCGGGGGCCGCGGCCCGGAAGACCGCTCCTGCTCCCCCGGGTCGGCGCCACCGCCTTCCGCCATCTTTCACCGGCTCGAGGGCGCCTGCGCCGACGCGCCTCCCGCGACTTCCGGCGCGGTTGCCCGGCAACCGCGGGAGGGGCGGTGCCTGCGCGCCCCCGCCTCCCCTGAGCATCGGGCGCGCGCCCGCCGCACCCGTAATCCGCTTTTCCAGAAGGGAAGTTGCTTCGCGCACCTTCTCCGCAGGGACGCGCTACGTCAGCCTCGCGTCGTCTCTGCGACACGCCTGCAGGTGTTGCAGGCCGCGCTCGAGGGCGGCGTAGACGGGCACGTTCTGTTAGCTGAGCCGTGGGAACGGCCTCTGGATGCGCGCTCGCCAGAAACTCGCAGCCTTGCGTTTCTAGTCTTGGTGAAAGTAGGTCATCTCCGCCACCCAAGACCGGGTGCCGCCGTCGCCCCCGTCGCGTGAATTGGTGTTGAGGACGAAGAGCACGAAGTTCTTTGCGCTCAGAGCTGGAGACCGCTAAACCCTCGTTCTGCGTCTGAGACTTGCTTAAACTCCTGTCTGATCGCAGTCACTTTTATGCCCCCGAGTTGCAAAGGTGGAAAGTAGCGTCCCCGTCATTCTAAAACTCACACTCTAGGGAAAAGACAGATGGAAACAGATAATGAAAGGCAGTTTGCAACGGGGCTTTGCATTGGATGACGGGCGTGGGAGAGTCTTCTCTTGGTGCCGGCTCTGTGCACCCGGCTAGGTGCACTCGTGTGTAATCTCGTCTGTCCTGCTGCTAGTTAAGTGCTGTTATTATCATGTTGTACCCAAGGAAACCAAACGGTGAATCATCGCTAGATTCACCCTGTTGCAAATGGCAGCACCAGATACCCAATCTGGCATTGGTTGGTCCAGTTTTGTTTTTTTGTTTGTTTTTTTTTTTTCATGTAACATCTGCTCTAGAAATCCCTGGCTCTTCCTTATGTTCCATAGAGCCAAGGACATTCTGCCTGAATCTTAAAGGATAAGTATTTCCAATAGACTATGGACCAAAAGGAACCACAAGGCATGGCATTGGCTTGAGTTGGTTCAAGCTGATAAAGTCCTACGTGGTTGAAGCTTAGGGAAATTGACAAAAGATAGAAATGGGGTTGGGGGTACAGATCTAGACTGAAGTTGTAGGCTTAGGACAGACAGGTCCCAAAAGATCTTGTCTTCGTGAAGAGACTGAACCTTACCTCTGAACCAGTGATTCTCAAACGTTGCTGCATGTCAGAGCTCCCATTAGAACCCTCTCCCCTCCCCACTTAACCTCAGAAACTCCAATTTAATTCATATGGGGCTCATGGTCTTTAAGATGTTTCCCAAGTGGATTTTGCTTCTGGCCATGACTGTGTACCTGGTAGTAGACTTGCCTCCTCACTCCCAACAATTAAAAAACTAGACAAAGTACATGAAATAACTGTTTTCAGACACTGAATAACAGGCAGTACAGGTCTGTGATATCCCAGAGAAGGGAAACAAGCAAGATGAGCTGTGTTTGCTCTGGCTTTCTGTCTGGAACTCTCACACAGCGCTGGTAGGGGTGGAGAATGACACAGCCTCTTTGGAAGATAGTTTCTTCTGAAGTTGAATATTCAGTTATCATAAGGCTTAGCATTTACACTCCTAAGATTGACCCAAGAGGAATGAAAACATTCTTACAAAAATATTTGGACCCAAATGTCCATAGAAGTTGCCTTCATCATAGCCCCAAACTGGAAATAATCCAAATGTCCATGTCTGTCAGCAACTGAATGGGTAACATTTCAATGAATTCGTATAATGGAATATTACTCAATAGTAAAAAGGGAGAAAGTATGGATTGACACGCCGTTGATGAATCTGTAAGACATCCTGAGTAAAGAAGCCAGATGTGAAAGAGTAAGTATTGTCTGATTTAATGTATATGAAATTCTAGAACAGGTCAAACGAATCTTTACTGGCAGAAAGCTGGTGGTTGCTTAAGGTTGTCTCTTTTGGGAAAGTTGTTTGGAAAAGGGCCTATGGGAACTTTTTGAGATGATGGAAAGGTTTTATATTTTGACTGCTGTGGTAATGACACAGGTAAATGCATTTGTTAAAAACACGCTGAACCGCGTACTTAACATACGTATGCCTTATTATATGTAAATTACACATTTACAAAATTGGTTGAAAAAAATCTCTCCAGATAATTCTGCTGTGTGACGATGGTTGAGAACCACTGATCTAAGGCAACTGGGAGCCATGAAAAATTTGTGATTTAGAAATATCACACAGGCATCAGTGTGTAGGATGAATCATTGTTAGGAAATTAGAAGTTTCATCAGTGGCAGTGGGTACAGAGAGAAGCAATAACTGGTAGAGATATTAGGGTGAGACCCAATGGTGCTGGAGTTTACATGGGAGATCTATTGAAGGAAGAATAAAGAATGACATTCAAGGTTTTGGTTAGGCGGTTGGGGAAACGGTGCTACTCGCAAATTACTGAGTAGAAAGGCAGAAGCCAACTTCAAAAGAAAGAAGACATTCTATTACAGACATTTGTCTGAATTTGAAATTCATGTGAAACAGTAGGGTGAAAATACATCACGGAACAATTGCAAATGTGGATGTAGACTCTGGGGGACTAGGAGAGAATTTGGTGTGGAGACAGGCAGATTTGGTGTTGACTGCGTATTAGTGATAGCAGAGTAGGTGAGGATTTCCACACTGTGAGATATGAGAAGATACGAGAACTGACAATACACAGGAACACCAGCATCGAAGGGCTCAGTGGAGAAAGGAGAGCACTCAAAGTAGACGTAAGGAATAGTCAGGTAGGATGAAGACAACAGACTGGAAAAACTAGTGACAAGGAGGTTTCAAGGAAGAGACCGACAGTGTCATTTCCTATGGAAAATCAAGTAAGATGAGGACCAGAAAGTGTCCATTGGATTAAAGAGGAGGTGGGCATACCAGAGATCACCGCTAGATTCATACAGAGGAAAATCTATATTTTCGTAGTTTGAGAGTGACAGCTTAGGACAGTGAAGTCTATGTTTTCAGTGTACTCAAAGTCAGTGGTGTGTAAGAGGTGGCTTATCCGGAGAGAGCCTACTGTTAAATTTTCAGGAATTTTACCAGCAGCAGTTAAACATAGCCATTATTACAAAGAAAATTACATAAACTTACAATGAAGTCATATTAAAAATCAATGTAATAAATACTCAAAAATCATTCTTGCCTAATTACTTTAATGCATTTTGTCATTATCTATGCCATTGAGGTTATTTACATCTCTTGTATCCATATGGTGGAGACACTACGTAATGCCAAGCGACTGCACACCTCTTCCTAACTCTGTATGCATTCAGCAACAGCATGTGGTGGCTGAAATTTACCATGATGGGAGTATCACACGTCAGAAATTGGCAAATATCTTAAAGAAGGGTTTGATTTATTGTTTTGTTCGTAGTCCACTTTAGATTAAAAATGTGGTGGCTCACACCTGGGTGGCTCAGTCTGTTAAATGTCTGACTCATTTTGTTTCAATTTTTTAAAATGTTTATTTGTTTATTTTTGAGAGAGAGAGAGAGAGAAAGAGACCACGAGCTGGGGAAGGGGGCAAAAGGCAGAGAGAGAGGGAGACACAGCATCTGAAGCAGCTCCAGGCTCTGAGCTGTCAGCACAGAGCCCCTATGGGGCTCGAACCCATGAACCGTGAGATCATGACCTGAGCCGAAGTCTGATGCTTAAGACTGAGCCACCCAGGTGCCCCTACAGTGAAGTTAAGATTTAAAAGTTGCTGTGTCTGTAGCTGTTACAGTATGAAAAGCAAAATGAAAGGAAAGGAAATTGTATTTATTTATTTTTATTAAAAAAATTTTTTTTAATGTTTTATTTGTTTCTGAGAGAGAGAGAGAGAGACAATGTGAGCGGGGGGGGGGGGTCGCAGAGAGGGGGAGACACAGAATCTGAAGACAGGCTCCAGGCTCTGAGCTAGCTGTCGGCACAGAGCTCGACGCGGAGCTCGAACCCACGAACCCTGAGATCGCGACCTGAGCCGAAGTCGGACGCTCCGCCGACTGAGCCACCCAGGCGCCCCGGAAAGGAAATTTTAAAAAGGGAGGGAAAAAGACCCATTCTTCCAGTATTTGTAAATTATTAGCTGATTAGGCGATTCAAACAAGAAGTTGCTCATGTCATGTCATTGCGTTACTCCATACATTTGTGTTGTTCACTCATGTCTCGTTAACCTAAATAAAATAATATCAATAAAAATAAAAATAAAAAATAAAAATATCAACTGACATTGATATGGTCCCTTGGAAGTCCCCTCTCTTTTAGCTTGTGATGAAAACTATAGTGTTGCTTCCCTTTCTTCTCCACAGAGATATGATTACCAATACCTCACTGCCCCCCCATCCTTTGTTTTAAATTCTCAAAGTGGTTGAGGAGGTTCAAAAGTCACAACATTTATTCTATATGATATAAAATCCAGGAGATTGTGTCTCACACTTGCTTCGACGTTTAATATGTGTTGTTCCTTGGGGGCCCTTAAACTAGAAACGTAATTTTATACCTTGTTATGCTTAGTTTTTCCTTCCGTTAAACTGTAAGAGCCTGGAGGGGCTTCGGGCCATTTCTTTGTCTCCAGTGCCTTACTGTAGAACTTGGAACATAATAAGTGTATGAATGAGTGAGTGAATGAATGAAGGAGGTAGTGATCCATAACTCAAACTGAGATTTGACTCTCTCCAAAGGCCACTTTCCATTCATGGAAAGTCAAGAAATAACAAGAAATATCAACAGAGATCATCGTATGTGGATAGGAATAACAAGAAATATCAACAGAGATCATCGTATGTGGATAGGAAAGAATAAAATGCAGACCTATCCATCTTGGACTAACTAACTGTATCTGGCTGCAACTGCCCAGCCTAAGTGAAATGCACACCTGTGTAATTATGCTGGAATGTAGTAAGATCTGAGGTCAAGATCTGAGGTCATTGTCATATACGACCCTTTAAAACATTTTCATCTTGGCTTTTTGATGTTTATACAATGTAGAGAATTTTT